TACACCCTATGTTCCTGAACTTATAATCGCCTTCAAATGACCAGAAATTGTGCAATTGCAGAAATTGACGTGGCATTAACGTGGCATCGATTCAAGAACATCTTTGAGCACACGTGATGTCACCTTTTCATCGAGAATTTAGCCACGTGTGCCAATGCCACGTCAATTTCTGCAATTGCACAATTTCTGGTCATTTGAAGGCGAGAGTATTACAGTCGGTATCTCGAACTCTGATTGGGCGTGTCACCGGAAATGACGTGGCAGCCATCGCACTTGCTAGATGCCACGTGGATAAGATACTCCGCCAGATATCAGCGAAGCATGCTGGAAGCAGCTTATCCGCGCAATTTCTATCAAGTGCGGTGGCTGCCACGTCATTTCCGGTGACACGCCCAATCAGACTCCGAGATTGGGAGTTAGGCCATGAATTTTTTCGTTGAAATTGGCAAAGCCCTATACTAAATTAGTAGCGAATGATCTTACTTTGCAGTCCTATTTTATGTACGTACAAACATTCGCTGGTTGTGGAAGTAACTAGCTATGCTGCTAATTAGCAATGGCAATGGCAAAAATCATTTGTTAGGCGCGCGTTCATAGTTCGCGACTCCGGAGATTAGGATAGTACGCGACAATGAAAAACATATGTATTGAGTAGGAGATTAGGATAGTAGTAGAGTAGGGAGTTTGCGCTGACAAGATTAGATACGTATCGATTGAAATCGCCTGGAGAGTAGTAGATTGCGATATTACGATAGTAGGATAGTAGTAGAGTAGGAGATTAGGATAGTTTGCTGACAAGATTAGATATGTATTGATCTATTCGCTTGAAGTCGCCCAATCTACTACTCACCAGCGATTTCAATCGATACGTATCCAAGTCTTGTCAGCGCAATCTCCTCCCTACTACTATCCTTATATCCTGTCGCCTACTATCCTAATCTCCCGAGTCGCGAACTATGAACGGCCAAAAACGCTTCCAACTACGAAGGGTCAGTGTGTGCTAGATTTTCCGCGTGGGAGGGTGATATTGAGTTCTTGGGAGAGGAGGCAATCGTATTCGGGCATGGCCGTGACATGGTCAAAAGGGTCGTTTTGGAGATTTATTGTTCACGGAACATGATTGCGTTAGACAGTATCGGATATATTTCAAAGGGTTTCTGACGTTCCGGGCGGAAACTTTAGGGAACGAGCATCGGTGGTGAAACTGAGACGTTTGCATTTCGTTAGCCATGTTTAACCTGCTCGGTAAACTGCTCTCGAAGTCCATTTGAAGTTAGTTGTTGCGTGTCTAAAATTCCGATAATTAATCTGCAAATCTAATTTTTATACATCTCGAATCAAACACTGAGACTGTCGCTAGCTACGTCTGACCGGTCTTCGTTTTGCCGCATTCAAAGGTGGAGTCAATTTTATGTCGTGATTTCGCCAGGCCGGTCTATTCAGCTTGTACTTACGGAGTCATTGATGGTGCTAAACTTACCCTGTATATTCCGAATAACGAGAAGAGCGTCGAGTGCAGACCACACGCCACAAGTGACGGCGGTCGTTTGTTTTTTGCTAGCCGTCGTCACTTGTGGTGTATGGTCTTTAGTGGACATTCGTCTCGTTCTCTGAAATACAGGGTACGTGGGAGGACAAGTCTACTGTTGTACATCAGCTGGTCCACCAAAAGTAATTGTATGGGAAAAATCGAATTTACTGCCCTTCGCTGGATGTTGCCTGCGTAGTATCAATGACCAACCTCATTTTTTTCATCTATAATCTCCTATTCCCAAAATAGTTCAAGCTCATTGTAATGAATTTTTGCACATAAAAGAAATGACGTTATTTGTTTGAAAGGGTAAACCTCTGCGAACAGAGAATTACGTTGATCATAGGTGGGGGACGTTGAAGGTATTCGTTTAAAGCAACAGTCCAGGCAGGGTTTCAACTACTTGGTCATTAGGCGGTCAAAACATGCCCCAGCCCAACTAAAGTTTATAGGAAATGTCTTTAAGTTCAAAACCTACCTCTAAAATGCGCTGGAAGGGGTCGAAGTCCTCTTGGAGGGGGCGGACCCATAAAGAGGCGGATCGCCCAACATACGCTGTGCAGAGCGCGTGCTCGACTAGCGGTCGTTGCGGGACCGCCGCGCTGTATGAGGTCGATTCCATAAGAACGCAATTGAAGCGCTTCAATTTCGATTGCTGGCAAATAGTTATGTATTTGCAATGCATGGCTATTTGCCAGCAGTTGCAATTGGAGCGCATGTACTACGGGCAGGTTCGGACAACTCGTCCAACACACGTCTCCCTAAACGGCAGGGGGAGTCCCTGTCTAAGCCCCTGCCCGACGTTTTTTTCTACTTTTTCTTTCTCCATTGACCAACTTCTCACCTGCAACGTCATTATAGGTGGTCCTTACCGCGAATTCGTTCCTGGATTGTTGCTTTAAAGTTTGCTTTTGAAGCCATAAGTCAAGATGTTACAGAACTTTAGTCGCCTAACATTTCGGCCTTCTTGCCTTCGTCAGAGCCTTAGGATGTACGGTAGGACTACCGCTAGACTTGAAGTAAAGGGCTTCTCCACCAGCATTGGAAAGTATCTGAATAGCAGTGACTACTCTCATTAAATCTATCACAAATAATGTGAAAGTGTTCAGTGAGCATTTCATTCCTAAGTTAATGAGACTTGGGAGGCGGGATGCGTTGGGTTAGAGAGTGCAGTTCTTGGTTTTGGTTCATGATTAGTTGTATTATGATTGATTACTATGTATCCAAACATTCAAACCAGTGATCTCAATAGCTCCCTGAACGGTTCCGATTCTGGCTAGGGGAGTGATTGGCCTACGGTAGGCATTTTACCCGACCGGACGCGCTTTATTATGCTGCCCTCGTACGACTGAAATGCTTCAAAAATTTGTTACAGGATCCCAATAAGGTTCCAGCACAGGATTCGCCTGGCTACGGGGTTTTTGTGTATTTCCCTGCACGTTTCCTATTTTTTGCAAGTGTTCTGAGCAGTTGAAAAGCGACGATTTTTCACATCTGTAGGTCAGGCGCAGTCTAAAAAGCAGTGCAAGTGCTACCTTTCAGTAGTCGCCTAATTGAAATCAAGTTTACCCCGATGTACATAAGTAGCCTTGACATCTATAAAAATCATTATTGATCCTGCCATGCAAATAAATGTCTCTGCAATTTCCGATAGAAGAGAAATACATGGCGCGGTCCTAACGGTTATATTGTCAGCGTGACCTTCTTCTTTTTGTGTTCTGCTTCACAGGCAGAGGCAAAGCAATGTGTTCCACTCATTCTTTCGCTCTCGTCTGGCAAATTTCTCCCGAATAGTTATATAGCCAGTATTGAGAAGTGAGAACCAATTTGCCCTATAGCAGTGTGAATTGGAGGACTTTTTGAGTTCTGTTCTCCGATTCTTCTAGAATAATGGCGAATTCATGTGGAAATGACTTTTTGGTGAAGCCACAAAGGGTAATCCTTTCGAGTGAGCACGAATTCTATTTGTGTGAGCTCGTATCGAATACCTTACGGGGACGACTTGAAAGAAGGCCCTCCACACTGTAATCCTTAGAAAGCAGATTCTCTGCTAGTCCATCGCTCTTGTGCTTTTCGGAGTATTCCGGGGAATGGCCGGAGTTCTTCCGAGCTCAAAAATCTGTGACAATTCAATCGATTTTTTATTTATCGAAGGCACATACCATTCATTTTGGGGTGATAGTTTCGTTCAAATGTTGAAGTAGAGGTAGCAGGTATTGATGAAAGGAGCAAATGGTTCAGCCCCTCTCTATTAGGAGCTTTTATTTCCATTGCTGTAAGACTGACAGAAACCAATGTAATTGGAGACAAAGAGGGAAATATACTTGGGAATAAGAGAACATTGGGATGAGTGAGACGGCAGACAGACAGATTGAAGCTGCTGGATGCAGGTTTTCGTTGGCGGAGTAGTTTTAGCAGGTGAAGGGGTTTTGCCGCGCCCTTTTGAACATTGAACGTCGCATATCTGCGGCCTTCGTCGGCAGCTCTATCTTACCTACTGAAAGGGTTGAATCCACCTGGGGGGTGTGTCTTTAAGGAACACTTAGAAACTCTCATGCCGATCAGACAGAGCATTTACTAATTAATAGAAGTTAATGGGAATAGAAGAGAAATAGTTTTTTGCTAACCGTAGGATCAACTCAGAGGGTGAAAAATAATATCGAATGCACACGACGGGCCCGTACCAGACAACGAAGTCGCGGAAGTACATAGTGCAGTGACAAGTGGCGCGATTACAGTAATCAACAAGCATCCAATGTGAGAACGTTTTTGAATGAATGGTGAGTGTGTGGCGCATCTGAATAGGTTTTTTTTGAACACTGGATTCTTTTGTTTCTTTTGCTTTTGAAGTAATATTATGTTTAAGACGACTGAAAAAAGCTAAGCACCAGCGAAAAAAATTGAAGTACTTTTTCAAATACTTCATTTTCTCAACAATGTCTAGTTCCTGATTTTGAAAAGTTCTTTTCTGGCTTGCTGAGGAGGAATGAAAACGCTACCTTATACGTCGCATAGCCCAAATAGTCATTGTACAGGTGTAGGCCAATAAACATTCAAATACCACTTCGATTTTGAATGGAAGTAGAATGCGTGGCGCATTCCAGAAAGGGGCTGCTTATTGTAGAATGCTTTATTCGGTGCAATGTACGGGAGCATCCTCTAGGACTGAGCCTAGAAGGAGGCAGGAACTTCGAGGAAAATAGAAATAATTTTCTACTCCCCTGCCCGAGGCTTAGTCCCGTTTCTTCGTGAAGGACATGTTTCACGAAGTCTTGAATACATCATAATGCCCTGTATGTTGCGATAGCGCCTTTTTTTCATCGTTTACGTGTTGGAGCATCTGAGATTCAAAAATTTTCAATGTCCGTACTAATCCAGTTTAAGAACACGTTTATTTTTTATTTTGGAGATCATACCATCTCGAGGAGTCAAAAAAGAGGCTCAGGCATAGTTGATCAGTCACAAGGTGTTAGTCATCCTGATCAAACTCCATATAATCGGAATGATAAGTGAGAAGCATGGCCATCATTCTTCGACACTTCTCATTATTCCAAGCAATATTATCTGTTTGAAGCCGTGCTCCAATGGCATTGAGACCAAGTGAGCGTACATAATTCTGCATGGCAATTTCCACTGACGGTGTATTAGTGTATCGAAATCGATCCATAAATTCCTGCCATCCTCCTTGTTTCCTGAACATTGTACTGATGGTGGTGAGACCGTCTTTCTCAAGAAGAACAATCAATCTGTCATCAGAAGTGTAGTAGGTCTTTCTGGTGAAGATCTCCTTGGAGCCATCCTGAAAAACGCTATCGTTTACGATTCTTTTCTATAGTTTAATGCATTTTGTTTTCCGACATATCTATGTGTTTCGGCAGCATTTGATTCAGATGGTGGATGGTGCCCGGCGCTATCGCGGGATACGGGGGCACCCTCTAGAACTGAGCTCAAGTGGGAGTAGGAACTTCGGGGAATTGAAGAAATCGTTCACACACCTAAGAATCTCTCCTCACCCGCCTGGGCTTACAATTAGTCCCGCCCGCTTCCAGTGAAAAGGAGATATTTCACGCGGTCCTAAGTCAACACCTCCAACTGAAGTCGTGTCGAAAATCTATTCGATGGGTGGGATAGAGTAGCCTGCGAGTAGCGCAGATGTGCTGATGCCGCGGCTCGAAGGTGCGCGAGGATCTTACAAAATCAGCATTTGGCGACTAATCTTACGTTAGCATTTGGACGAGTTACGTAGCGCACACCCCATGACACGCAACGTGGATTACGGCGTAGCGGCTAATTCAAATACGCGCGGGTTAGTTGAGCCGTGGAGCAGGCAAGTTCGTACAACTCGTCTGGCCCCGCCCCTTCCTTCAAGGGAATCCTTGTTTAAGGCTCATCGACGGTTTTCTTTGCTTCTTTTTTCATTTTTAGTCAACTCGGCATCCACAACTTCATTATCAACCGCTGTGATCCCACAAATTCAATCTGTGGGTATTGCTTCGAATGATTGCCACCTTCATGCCCATCTTTTGCGACAGCGCCCTCAATAGCATATGGTATGGGGAATCTGTCCCTTCTCCACATCTAATTGTGTTAATTGTAGTCACAGAAGATCATGAAAGATAGCGAGCGAATATGAACTTCCGAAGCAAAACAACCGGAAGAAAGCTTGTATCGTAGACGGCTATTTGTAGAAAGGAAGGATTTAGAAGGGACTCATAGAACGAAGTGTTTTGTGAGAGCGCTATGGGTAGCGTTCCGGAAAGGCCCGAAATGGTTCATGGTTCCACGACACATTCACTCTAGTTCTCTACTGCAACATTTGTGAAAGTTTTACGGCGGCAATCCTTGCGACTCATAGTTCACCAAACCACTGAAATTCATATTACCAGGATAACTGCTGATAATCCACTGTTTCTGCTCTCCTTATAAAGCACTAGATCTGTGGTTCCAATTTTGGATGATGACGGAGGTACCGGATTTCCGTGTACAGTGTCTTTAAGTCCTATGAAAAGAGAAAAATGACCTGAGCAACAGATGTCACGTTGCACACATCAGTCAGTTTTGCATTCTTCAGGATATCTTGTGGTAAATCGCCCAGATAGAACTGTGGAGAGCACAATTCCATAAATTCTGCGCCGTGCTTTCGATAGTGATAGAGTGCTTTGTATTCATCTGCGAATTTGAGATTCCTTGAAGCCGCTAGCTTTTTGATGATAGGAAGCTCCATCTCAATGCGCCCTTGGAATTCATTGAATGTCGCATTATCGTTGAAGTTGAATTTTTGATTGCCTGGAAAGAAGATTCTTGATTTGATTATTGAGCTGTCAGAAAATTCCGTGCTGTTTCATTTCCCAATGCTCTCCCCTCCCTCTCAATGGTGCTGGTACAAGTCGATGGAAGCAAAAATGGAATAACAGGCACCTACGCTGGTGAGCCGTGATCAGGCGTCGCGATCAGACTTAGCGACAATCGCTAGCGAATCGCTCGATCAGGCTGCTACACGGGCACGTCTTCAGCAAAATGCGCCTAGTAACGTCCCTCAAGGAACCTGACCCTTTCAGAAGATATATTTTCCCTTCTTCAATTTCGAAATTATCGTGTCACCTCAACATTTACCGTAGAACCCTGCCAAGGTAAACTGAACGCCTGATGGGATAGATTCATCTCCTCGGCTCAAAACGTTTCGCAAGTTGGAGAAGTAGACTACATCGCGCGCGGAATAGAAATCCATCTCAGCCCCTCCCCCCCAGCCGTCCTAGCCTTGAACCTTGAACAGCACAAGAATTTGAACAATGTGAATCAAAGAAGCATACCTTTGACTTCGGCAGCGACCACTTCCACAAGAGACATAAATCTATCAGGATCCTTCACTCCAATTCTATGGGCTAGTCGTTCTGCATATTCGACAATATCTCTGCTGTACCCAGCAGCACCACCAAACACCTGGTCGTTTGCTCGCATTTTAATCTCGTCTTAACGGCTTAAAGGCAGATGGCACGATAAAATGCATGTCGAAGACGGAAAAGAGCATAGTGTGAAGGGAGGCTTGCCCTCTGAGTTGAGGACAGGCACTTTTACGGCGAAGGAGTCGCCCGCGTGAAGGCGGTGTCAGACTTTGCGATCCTCCGAATCGCGAGGTATGACCGTTGCACCAGCGGATCCAGCTATGTAGCAGCGACTGGCAGTGTTCGAAAGTGGCGAAATATCCGCTCGTCGCACGATTCGACTCACTTTACTGGGCTTTCGGCTCTGTCGCTCTTCCATACCCTCTGAACTCCTTCGTGCCTTTGCTCCACTCCGGTTAAGTACCCCAGCTACTGGTCTCTCCCGTCGGACTCTAGCCGCTCAGCAAAGAGGCAGAGCATAACAGCGTTTCGATGACGTCAGCACCGATAAGACTCGTCCAACGCAGAAATCAACGGGGCAAGGAAGGTCCCATTTGCTAGTTCAAGGCTGGCCCTCCATTTTCCTTTGTTTTTTTTTTCACAGCTGCACCTCTTAGCTCTACATTCATTTCTAACAGACAAGCAATTTATCGTACCATTTGCCTTCAATTGCGATCAGTTTTTGCTAGTTCGGGGAAACAAAAAGCCGTTATACATTAGTATTACCTTGTTTATGCGGCCAATCTGTCGCTCCGTCGAATTTCGGAGATATTTGTGTGTCTCATAGTCGCCATTGAGACATGCTCGCAATTTCCCCTGCTTGTGTATTTTGGCCAGACCCCACTGTTGCTGCGTGGAATATGCGATGCTGCAAAGCAGAGTTCAAGTCTTATTCAGGACCAAGGTGGGGGGGGGGACATGTGCTGCGACAATTCACAACGCATCTCTCGCATCACGTGCTCCTCCCCTCTTGCCGGATGAGATCCTAGGCTTCTTTCAGCATTATAGATTCTTCAAGAAGGATATTGACTGATATAACCAGCCGTGAAACGAAGAAATTAGGCCGTGTCAGAGTCCGCGATCCGTCGCGCGAACGCGCGCTTCTGAGTCGCAAGTGCCCCGATCAATACTGCGAGGTGCTCTCCAATCCCGCCGCCATTTCTGCTTGATGGTGATGGTTGAATGACGACTGTTCATGATTCTACTTGTTTCATATTCAGTGTTTCAAATGTTCAAATGGGCACTTGCGATTTTTGCGATTCGCGTGAATGGCGCGACGAATCGCGGATTCTAACACCGGCCTTATGTTCAAAGTGGTAATGTTCACTATGAAATCTGACTGACTTACCGATTGTTCGGATTTGCTTGGAGGGTTCTTCCACTTTTATCAGTCAAATGTAATGTCCGACCCTTTCTTCCTGCTATCTTGATGGACTCCATATCGTTCACAGACTTGAAGAAGTAGCTCGGATCCTCCATATGATTCAGATTCCTCACAATTTTCGATGTGTCCTTGATTGAACCATCTCCCTTATTCTGCTCCAGATATGATTGGAATGCCTTCTTTGCTTGTTCGTCCGTCATATTATTGGCAATTGCGGTGATTCTTTGCTGCTGAGCTCGTTCAATAACTCCCCATGCGGTTTTTGGCTGAATTAGAGTGTTGGTAAAGAAGAGAGTGCTAACGGAAAATTGCAGCACATCCCCAAATGTTAAGCTATCATTGCGTAGCTTATCAACGAGGTTCGATATGTTAAGTATAAACGAGAAGCTGTCGACGCCGACTGCCGTGAACATGAGAATTGTTGCAAGAATTCGCTGGCTCTGGGAGAAGATTCGCCCAGAAGCAGCCCCAGCGGCAAGTCGGGCTGACACAAACCCAGTGAGCATATGTAGAGGTGCAGCAACAATCGAAAGGATAAGCACAGCGCCTTCAAGGTCGGTGATGCTCTCTCCATGATTCACCTTATCGATAAGTCGCTGTGCCGCACGACCAACCCCGTAGCCGGTACTTGTTCCTGCGACACCCAACAAAATTGGCGCAGAAACGAATCCAACCGGGGTAAAGATTGTCACCACTCCTACCGTCGCAGCGACTACACTAATCGTCACATCAGCTATCCTTCCAATTCGGGCTAAAAGATCACATGCCGGGGAAGTGCCGAATCCTACGTCAGTTTGTCTTTCCGGGTCAAATTCGTAGGCTCCACCAGTGTTGCAGGTGTAGTAAAGCCGTTCCGGAAAACAGTATTTCATCATCGGTAGGCAGTTGTTGTCCTTCCAATCCTGTGCGTTTTCGTACACACGGCATGCTGTGTCGATATATCGAACATCGTCACGGTAATCGTTCTTTTGCCAGAGAAGTCGAAAGAGAGGCACCTATTCGGAAAAAAAATGAAAACATACCAACACATCCACATAGAAATCTGATACGCGATTCACCTGGTATTCCTTATCTCCCTCCTTGCAGAAAATGAATATGAACCCTAGTTGGAAGCGTCTCTCAGGCGCCTTTAAATATGTTTCCCGTATTTTGTCGTAGATTTTTGTGGCAAAAGCACGCTGGTCACTGTTGTAAGCAGTCTCCAACTCTTCGGCATCGTCAGATGGCGGACCTGAAAGAATCAGAAATGCGAGTTGGCCTACACAGTGATCAGTCAATTTACAAGTCCGGTTTGTTATCTCCCCAGATAGGTCCGATACCAGTGATCCGACTCCAAAGGGATGAAAGGCTTGGTTAGTCCTGATTGGATAGGACTAGGATTTAATCCCCGGGTAGTGATAACCAGTTTTGCTCCGCCCGCTATCGCGCGCATCACACGGCAGGCTTTAGCGAAACTGAAAGACCCATGGAATATCAGCATGAGGTACTCCATTAACCACCTCACTATTGAATGTGTTAGACCTTTCCCAGTTTCGCTGAAGTCCATCGAGAATACGCGTGATAACGTCTGGAGCTGAACTGGCATATTTATCTCACAACTGTAAACATCCAGCATTCTTCTTGAATTCAGATAATTTAGCGGTGAATAGGATTGCTGTCAGTCTCAAAATTAAAATGAAATATGCCTATTTACATAATGGAGCGTTCATAGTTGGCGATCGTACGTGCGAGTAGGCGATCAGGCGGTGAGTAAAGGATACGTATCGATTAGGCGAGTAGGCGATAGGCGAGATAGGCGTGATATCTGGATTGTATGCAACACTTTGACAAGATCTGCTTTTACCAACTAGTAGTCTAGTGTATGGGTGAGAAGCTAATATGCATGTGCGCCTCAATTTTGACGACTAAGGAGTGCGCCGTGTGCAAATCGCCTAATCGCCTATCGCCTGATCGCCTACTCGCCTACTCGCCTACTCGCCTAATCTATACGTATATTTTTCATTTAGACTAATCGCCTAATCGCCTAATCGCCAACTATGAACGCTCCATAGTGAAGAGTAACTTATTCATTTATTTACATTCACCATTATTTAGAACCCCGAAAGGATTAGCGGTTCAATGAGTTTGGGCTTTCTTGATAGAAATGAAAGTTATCATTTGCTGAAGACTTGATTGAGTTTATGCAATAGACTGCTATTAAGTAAGCTGGTCATACAATGATACAGTGTGCACGTACCACTACAAATAGAATTTGTAAGTAGGGACGTTCTAGTGTCAGCGCAAGCTACATAATGGAATTGACGACTTTTGACGCGCCTTATCAGCCTTTCTCAGTTAACCCTTCAAGGGTTGTTTGTCCTTGTTGTGTATTGTCGTCGGTTTTGTCCCGTAATCACCTACCATCCCACCCCACATGACACCTGCTGAGCATGGTTGCTCTGGTATCAATGCAAGCCTGCGTAACGGAATGACGACTTTGCGTTCTGACGCCCCTTATCAGCCCTTATCAGTTGCAATCACTTTCCATCACCTACCAACAATGTCCCCGTCCCACCCCACATGACACCTGCGAGTATGGACGCTCTAGTGTCAACGCAAGCTGCGTAACGGAATCGACGACTTTTGCGTTCTGACGCCCCTTATCAGCCCTTATCAGTTGTAACCACTTTCATCACCTACCAACAATGTCCCCGTCCCACCCCACATAACACTTGTAAGTATGGTTGCTCTGGTGTCAACGCGAGCCAGGTAACGGAATCGACGACTTTTGCGTTCTAGCGCATCTTATCAGCCATTATCAGTTGCTATCGCTTCCAATCATGTACCACCAATGTCCCGGGATCCACCCCACCAACATTTGTAGTATGGACGCTCTAGTACCAATATGAACGACAAAACGAAATTGGCGATGCTCGCTTTCTAGCCCCTCTTATCAGCTATTATCAGTCGTATACCAGTTCGTACCACTTGTGTCCCCATCCCACCCCCTATAACATATGTAAGAACCACTGCGCTATCGTTACTGTGACTCGAGCTATGAATTTCCGGTCAAACACACACACACACACACCAACAGACACACGCTAGCCGCTTATATATAGTAGGATAAGGGTAAACAGCGCCTGTGCCTGTACACTACTTGAACATGTCGATCTGAAATGGTCAATGTTGCGGCATAAGGAGGCATAGTGGCTGGTATCTGTCCAACAGAAGTATTCGATCATTGATTGTTACCTTCCCTGCATCACCAACAACTACCGGTACAGCTGACATATTATAAGTAGTTTAAAAGTATGAATGCTTCCGACAAGAGTGAAAGGATGCACCGATCGATACCGGTGGCGCTCTTGAATAATGAATTGCGAGCTTTCAAAAATTTACTGGCGCCACGTTGTAGTCTTCGATCAGGGTCAACCGTTACGTTGGACCGATATTGGAGCGACGTTGGACCGATGTTGACCGCTCTCCGCGCCGGCATTCACTCTCGCCACCCGCGAGCCGTCTGTGTCTCCGTGCGTACGTTCACTCTCGGCATTACTCTCGTCGTCGCGTCGACGGTTTTGTGCCGTTCTCATGGTTTTCGCTCATCCCTGCACCACTGACCACACCTCTGCCCTGATTTTAGCTGCCCAAGCTTCTTTGAAGAGTCGCCCCTTGGGACTCACTGCTGTGAAGGTCAACCGTATGTTGAGTGTGGTACTCAAAGGTGAATCGGTTGGGGTTTCACCCTTGGAAGAGGAGTATCCCTGGGGATTCGGTCGCGTCAAGGTTGCGGGGAAGGAGAAAAATGTTAGATCATTTGTCGTTTATGGGGCAACACCAGGTTGGTCCCCCCGCCAACCGCCGGGACCTTCTTTCACAGCGTACGCTTTACGGCCTAAAATCACCTTACGAAAGCTAATTGCATCCTAGGCCTGTTGGGGTGGTTTTCCCGCCTACCCTCCTCGAACACTTCACCCCCTCTCCTCTCCTTCACTCACCTTCAGCTGCCACCGCAGCACCATGTGAAATAACTGGAAGTGACCTCAGTAGGTGTTTATGTAGCCGTTGGGGTGTTATCACAAATCATGCCATTGCAAAACACTAATAGCTCAAATCCTGTAAGCTACCCGATTTGTTAGCGGTTTGTTTATCCCATGAGCTTCCTTCTCACTCACTTCATTTTGCGGACGGACACACATACATACATACACACACACACATACAGATACACAAACCGACACACAAAGTTAGCGCTTTATAAAATAGAAGGATATCCCTCCCCGCCAATGGTCATTTGAGAAGAAATATCCGCCTCCTCGTCCCCAGGTAAAAACCTCCCCTTCTCCACTCAGCTTTATTTGGAGGGATAGTAAAAGCGGCGGCCATCACGGTAAAGGGGGTCGAGCGGTGTGCTGGGAGTCGCCTCGAGGCCCCTTTCAAAACGAAGGGGGGAATATCAAATTTCTGGAATTGGAACAACGGGCGGTTGGATCTGCCTCTGAATGGTTCCTGCAGCCTATGGTCATTCACAACAACCACTCAATTTCAAAGTAACAAAAATATTGAGAATTCGTCATACCGTAAATGGCAAAGCATATTTGGTAGTCGTAGTGACAGATGAGACTACTTAATCGTGGACTGCGCGCCACCTCAAACTGCAGATACATGCCTTGCTGTCTCTACTTCGCATCCTTCTTTCCCCTTTTTCACGTCTCCATGCATGATGAGAGGATCTCTCCAACTAGTGGTTACCCATCCAGCTGGAAAATAGATAAATTCACTTCCTTTTGATCGGATGGTTTTTTTTTTCGAAAAATTGATCTCATATAAGGGTGCATACATTCGTTCAAAGGTAGGATTACGCAGCAGCAGGAGAACGCATGATAATCCTTTTCGAATCAAAAGTTCTGAAGAAGGTTTTTTAGGGAAAAGGGATTGTGGCGACGAAGAGTCGCCAACACCCGCCTTGCAATGCGCTTATCCGACGAACAGTATTGTTCGATGAGACTTTATACGCAAGAAACAGCCTCCACAAAATTAAATAGTTCGGTGCTAACCTAGTTGGTGGGGGGGGCACCACGCAGCGGCGCGGCGCTGTCCGTCGACCTCTCCAAGACCTAGTTCACGGTAACCGATGTGGCGAAATAGTAATAGACCCAATAACTAATGTAAGCATTAGAGTTGACAAGGCAGCCAAACAGAGCATCGCGCCCCTGTGTAGCCCCTCCCCCTCTTTCCCCAACTAACTTAACACCTAGTTTTCTGCCAACAAAATGATTAGCCGGCCGCATGTCGATACTTAAGCCGAAGTGGCTATTTTCAATGGTTGCACTATTTTGCCCCATTCTTGTTTTTATTTACTTTGTTCCTATATTTGTACATACACTTTATCATTATTTAGTAATCAATTCAAGATATCTAGCCTAGCTTGTGAGCCACATATCATTGCCCTTATATGGACGGCTTTACGCTTATCATCTCACCAAATGCAATTTCCTGCGCAGCAGTAGAATCTGAGTAGGGTCAATATGTTGTCGAGCTGTGTGGCGTACAACTTCACCATTCAAGTGAAGGGACAAATTCCAGGTGGCAGAAAGTGAAAAATTATCAAATATTACTAACTACATTAACTATCAACTTTTAACTGCCTATTAACTACTGTTTATTGCATATATTTGGATGCCAGCGACCCTTGGGCTAACGAGTCTGTAATGTTGCTTCCCCTACCTGCCGAATGTGCGAAGGATTTTGAACAACACCCCCAGATCAAAGTTATGAGGCTACAGCGGTCAATATTAAAGTTGTCGATGGCGAGTTGACTACAAATAAAAAATGAAGTAAAGAACACCATCAATGAAGCCATCAACAAGTATCTCCTCTTCCCATCCTCGATTAAAGGAAGGGCGGGGCCGGACAGTGTCTGGGAACTCGCTTTTTCTCTCTCGAATAAAGAAAGGCGGAGCCGGACGAGTTGTGTTAACTCACTCGTCCCATAACTCCACATACACGCACATATTTGAAATAGCCGCTACGCCGTAATCCACATTGCGTATCATAGGGTGTGCGCGAGGTATCTCGTCCATCAATTAAAATAGGGCGCCAAAGTTCACATTGTAAAACCTCATCGCATTGTGCGGCGCCACTTCGGAAATGCGACAACGGCTACATGCACTTTGTAGCTACTCTATCTCAGCTGCGGAATGTATTTTTCGACACCACTTCTGCTGGGTTACTGCTTTGACCGGAGTACTCAATTACCTTTGATTACAAGGGTCGGTTTCCACGAAGGAGTACCATACGGCCCATGAACCCCGTGCCCTGTTCTCTGTATGTACACCTTTCACAAAACGATATTCTTATCGGCGTGAAATAAAATTAATGAACAAGGTCAAAATACTCCAAAATACACTGCGACGCATAATCTTAGTTCCACCTACAAATTTCCCATCAACTTGAATCTGGGGATGTTTTTGAAAAAGGCCCTATGGACAAATTGTGACACATATAAACGCGAATCTGTATATCAACACGGAAACCCGGCACTATTTACCCTTTACTGCCCCACTCCCCGAGAACTGAGCCGGGTTTTTATCGAAATTGGTCAATGACTGTGGATTTGGCTAGAAACTTGCCTTAAGGGGTAATTTGACCCGTAGAACACGAATATCATATCGGTTTAGCGCGAAAACGCTTGGCGCCCGCGCCAGAAGGGCCGGCGCCAAAAAGCGCCAGAACATCTCGGACCCCCAAATCGTGGAAAGTTGTCCACAGCGGTATTTTGACCCGTGGAAACATCACTAATTTCTATCAAACGTTCGATTACGAAGAGATCGATTAAAGTCTTCTGGCGCGGGCGCCAAGCGTTTTCGCGCTAAACCGGTATGATATTCGTGTTCTACGGGTCAAATTACCCCTTAAGGCAAGTTTCTAGCCAAATCCACAGTCATTGACCAATTTCGATAAAAACCCGGCTCAGTTCTCGGGGAGTGGGGCAGTAAAGGGTAAATAGTGCCGGGTTTCCGTGTTGATATACAGATTCGCGTTTATATGTGTCACAATTTGTCCATAGGGCCTTTTTCAAAAACATCCCCAGATTCAAGTTTTTGGGAAATTTGTAGGTGGAACTAAGATTTATGCGTCGCAGTGTAGTGTGAAAGAATAGGTGAGGAACCATAATAAGATAATAAAGTAGCTATACGGTATAGTTTTGTGTAGTTCTATTCACAAAGCCCTGAAGTCGCACCGCACGGCCTTGACGAGGCTGCGCAGATAAGAGCAAGAATATGTATCTCGCAAAACATTGAAATGTTACATTTTTTTGCAAATTTTATGTTCTCCTAGCTTCATGCCACCAGGGACCCTATTCCAGACCGAATTCGCGGGGTGAAAACCGTTGATAATGTAGTTGTAGGTGAAAAGTTAACCGATAGTAAAGTAACTGAAGAAAAACGCTGAACAGGGCTTTAAACAGGGACTCACTCTGCCCCTTAGCATGAGGAAACGCGTGTTGACGAGTTGTCTGAAAGGGCCACGGTAAAGTGCGCTTCCCATGGCAATCGCTGCAAATATGAGCATAGTTGACTTTTAGCAAATTCAACAGACACACAATGCAGAACAGGATAGCTCCATAATTTGAATCAAATTCTATGATCAGCATAATCGACTTATTTTGGAAAAATTTTTTTGAAGATCGACCTCAATAGTACCCGGTGGTCCCGAAACGATCGCAAATGTCTGCGCAGCCAATCCCGCCGGACAGCGGGTAACTTAGCTTTGAATGCTCCAAATCGGAAAATCTGTTATCCATAGGGATGCGCAATTTGAACCCAGTGACAATTGTGCAAAATTTCTTATGTACCCTATTGTGAGTCACTCTAATGAAGCTGAACCCCTGTTCGCGCTTACGTCAGCAGCGGGCGGTCGCGTTGCGGTTTGGCATTAGAGCCGTTATTTATTTGTTTATTTATTTATTTATCTCTGTATAAGACAATAATGTCATATAGGCAAAATAGGTGGCAACATCAGTATAATAGAAGTTAATGACAAACGAAAAAGACAACTATAACAATATCAGTGCGCAAGAGTCATTTTGCTGCACACACTGAATAACTAACATAAGCATTTGAAAGAGAAATTTATGCAAATCCGCTACAAACAGTGATGATTTTGGCTCTGATAGTTGCTTTAGGGTTTCGAAAACAAAGTTTTCTATCTCCTGGTCTCGTAACGGAAGACTGAATGCCATAAAACTGTAGAAGATTGATTGCGATTCACCCGATGATAAGACTGTAAACCATGTGAAAATCAAGGTCTACGTCTGTATGCCAGTCTAGAGGGATGAATAACTTGTTTCTGAGATCGGCTTTGTGATTTTGGAATACAGAAAGTCGCAACGCCGTATAAGCATTTTCCTAGTAAAATTGTTCTGAACCTTTTCAACACACAATATCTTCTTTTTGTGAGGTGTGGAGATGATGGCTGACCATTAGTCAATAATTGGCTGAACATTCATTTTATATATTTTAGAAGAACTTTGGTTTCGCATGTTGTAAGACCTTTGAAAATGTGAAAAGTATCAGTGAAGGCTACTAAAATATCTCTTTATGAGGGGTCAAAAGTCAAGTTTATTGCTCTATAGAAAACTTAGGTCTTTAAGGTCTTTCACTAGCGCTCATGTCCTTAGGGAACATTCGAAGCAGGGCTGATGAAAACAGATGACTCCAGACGTAAGCCCGGTGGAGGGGAGAAGCGTCAGACAAACACAAATGGCTTGCATCCTTCCTCAGGGTCTCTTCTGAGGCTTAGTCACAAGTGCTGTAAGTGGTCCACTTACATGTATGAACCCCCCCCCCCAATGACATGAGCGGCTTTTACTGTAGCTATTTCAACTTCACCAATATAGTAATGGCTGGCTAGTGAGGAATTTTCTAGCTCCATATGATAAGTCTCGGTCAAATAGAAATTCGCCAGTTTTAAGATCAAGTACTCGACAAGCTAGGGCTTTCTATTAAATGACCTCAACGTCACGAAGATTGCCTATTTCTTTTAGGCCGATGTCAGACTTTGCGAATCGCGCGATTCGCTAGCGTCTGCGGTCGCGTCGCGGCCAGTGAATCACTCAATTGGCTGGTACCGCAACGCGACCGCGGACGCTAGCGAATCGCGCGATTCGCAAAGTCTGACATCGGCCTATATTTCTGAATCGCCAGGATTCTGGTCGCAAGTAGCACGTATTTCTTCTAGTTGTTAGATTAGGGAGAATCGGTCCCACCTGTAAAGGATATGCTGTTGTTCCAAATATGATGCTAATGTTCCAGCTTGGCGCGAATTTGTCAACGGCAAAATAGCATCGACGGTGTGGTGATAATCACAACTGCTCGGTGGGGAGAAATTCGGCGCATGAGTCACTATCTAAGCAAAGATAGTGACTCCAGTTTCGGCTATGACTCAGCTTTCCTTTTTGACTATCTTTTTCATTTTTATCACCTTTTCTTGGTGCTAAAAGCGGCAGCAGCAGCTAAAGCTAGCATTCAGCGAAGGTTAGCCATCGTCGAGAACTCCTTGACGTGAAAAGGAAGTCATTATTTGGCACAATCGGTGCGCCAGCCCCCCCCCCCCCCCCCCCCCCCCCCCCCCCCCCCCCCCCCCCCCCCCCCCCCCCCCCCCCCCCCCCCCCCCCCCCCCCCCCCCCCCCCCCCCCCCCGGGTGGTGACACACTGGTTAGAGTGCAACGGTTTGAGGCGAAATTTCGCAAGAATTTCCCAGCAGTATGTGCCACCCCCTCCCCTTTTCTCTCTGTTTGACGGAACTTTCAGAGGATAGTCAAACATAAGGGCGTACTATATGGAGCGCTATACGCTCAACGGAAGGGTCGCATCAAATACTGAATCCCCTTAACGCGGGGATAACCGTGCGTTTGTCTTGTCGAAGTTACTAAAACTTTGCAGTTTTCGTGATTTAGTGCTTTATTGCTTCCTACTGACCACAACATAGATTTTCTCTGGTCCATCGCGTGACTTGTCGGGAAATGTGGCGTCAAATTTAGCGTAGTTGTAGAGTTTTCAAGCTTGTTTGACTATGCATACATGCGCGTATAATCAATACGTATTTTCCAACATGGGCATTGACAGAATTCAATGTCTGGAAATCGTACCCTTTTTCGACATCAAAAAGATATAAATATGCGCTTAAAATATGCTATGATAGTAAAATAAAAATAAAAATATATAAATATTAATGATAAATTGAGTGGCTCTTTCTGGACCGTCACCATAGCGGCCGATGCGGTCGTGTAGGGTGGCCATCACTTGTAAACCGCCTGTAAACGGTTTTCCTTTGTTTTTTAGATAATTGCTACTGTTGAAATTTGAGATTTGTAATGATAAATATGCATGATTGGGTGTGATCAGTCAGTCCTTGCGGACCAATCGATAGCCATGTTTTTCATGTAGATCAGTTTCAGATGTTCCCTGAACGCTCTTCATCCTATCTATTCACAACTGTACAGAAACAATCAGAAACGGCGTAAACGGAACCGTTGAAAGTTCACGTTGGTTTCTATGTGGAGAGTCTCGGAAACTTTCGGTCTACTGAAATGGTACGGTTTGCGATCGATGACCGTGCACATACACTACTGGCCCAATCAATAATTCAATAATCGATCGCTATTTAGACGTTTGACATGGATCTTTACATGTATATGAGTTGGCAGGATATTCGAATGAAGCACAACCAGTCGGACTACGTTCTAATTAATGGTGCGATGATTGCCTTTCGCTAATCGATATATCGATTTTTTGACACCCGGTAGTTGTGCCTCGCTCAGCCAATCAATATAGCGTTTCCAGATAAATCGATTCTGGAGAAGATTTGGTTGCCGGATTTGTATTTTGCAAACGCTCGGACGGCCTACTTCCACGAGGTCACCGTCCATAACTTCAACATGTTCGTTTCACCCGAGGGTGTTATCGCATACGGAACGAGGGTGACGCTCAACCTAGGTAAGACTGGGAGACGTTCAGCCTAGGTCTGAGCATCAGATCTGCGCGATTACTGAAGAATTCTGTTAGGTTCAGGCTTAGGCTAAGGCGTAGGTTTATTCTTACACATGGGCTCATGGCTTAGGCTTTCGAGCAAATCAGCGGTGTCCTAATTTGAGGTGACCTGAACTGGGGAAGAGGATTGAAATACACCCGGTAAAACTATTTCTTGAAGTTCTTGTATCAATCAATAAGAGCTGGCGAGTCAATGCGCTACCCTTTAAGGACCATATAATTTTCAGTGTCAGTGTCAAAATGTGCGCAGCCTCATATATCACGCATGGGCTAATATTGGAGACGTTGCTCTCGTCCGGGATCGCGTTCATAGTCGGCGATTCAATCGTACGAATAGGCGACTATGAACGCGACCAAGGCGATTGTTCAGTTCAACACAAAAAGAGCGAGTTCAGTTCGATGTTCTGATAGGTTTTACTCGTTTCAAAAGCGGCGCAAAAGGCGATGTTCAGACAAAAAGGTGGAACAAACAAAAAACAAACAAGAAGCTGATTTTGAATGCTACCGATTTCAGCCTGCCATCTCAACTTGCAAGACTATCCACTGGATCACCAAACGTGTCTGATCAAAATTATCAGCTGTGAGTATTTCAGCGACTTTTTCCAAGTCTATCGTTTTTGTTTTCTGTCCTTAGCTGAATAGCTCTATGCCCTAAGAAAGTCTGTGGAGCTTTTGCTTGCTGCTGAAGCCCTGCGGCTTTCGTCCTTCTTCCACCGCAAAGATCAGAATATTTTACATATTCGCGATTTCTATTTTTACCGTTGGAAGCTCAATAATAACATTCATAAGTCTTTTTATAAAGGTAAAACGTGAGGCATCCACGGTATTGATCGATCTCTTTTGAAGGTGCGCCACGCACTCTGCCTTCCATTTAGCACCGTTGTGACATTTTGAATTGTGTCGAGTCTACACTTTGAACTGCTGAGGCCGGCCGATGCAAGCTTCCAGGCCAGTCTGGTACCATTCATACGGTGAAAGATAGGAGTTAGTTGGCTTGCGACTTCATGCGAACTAGAATTTCAAATCCAGTTGACGTGGGGAATAGCGTCGATGCCATTACCACCGTCCCCCCCCCATCTTTACTTAGTATTGCAAATGAAATGAAGTACGATAGCTTTCTTTTCATCGTGCATCTCTGTCTTGGCAAACTATTGCATTTGCCGGGTTGTGAAAACAATCTTTTTACTAAGAATTCCTACAGTTTCGAGTGATTGTCAACGACCGTTCGGAAAACATTTAATGATGTGAGCATTGTCCACACTGAATTAGACAGGAGGGGCAGCAGAGTCAACCCTGCGTTGCGCAGTTCTCAACGGCCACGTTGCGCAGTTTCGCCCGATTAGACACGTTCTCTCGCGCGAACATTCACACTCGCATGCTCGAGCCGTCTGCGTCTCCGCCCATACAGCGTGCGTTGAGGATCTCTCAACGTGCCGTTGCGAACTGCGCAACGCAGGGTTGACTCTGGGGCGGGAGGTATAAATATAGTGAAACGTTGACGCCGCGTCTTGGAGAGAATGATAGTGACATCAAATTCCCCATTTGTTTCTACACTTTATTTCTTTCTACCAGGATATGTTCAAATAAAGAGTTAAAATCTATTAAATCAAAAAAATCAAATCACATGAATCAAAATCGCAAATCTTAATTTATCATCAATAATCGATTTTATGCCCGCGTTTATTGACAAATGCGCAAAATTCCGTACATATTCCTAATAAGGTTAGTTTAATAGGTTATTTTATTGACTCTTTTTGGCGTGTTTCATAAATGGCCTTTCGATCGGTTGTTGTTGGTGAATATTTGCTGGCTGCTAGTAATATCGTTTGCATGGAAGATAATTGTAGCAATAGCAGACGCCGAGTAGCGCTTATAATAGTTTTTGATGGGTTTGGTCGTTGGATGGGATGATTACGATGTGTTGTATGGACACAAACACTTGGTAATTAAAGGCAGTAGGCGACACTAGGAAGGAAAACAGCGGGGGAATATTTTAGAGCATCAAGTATTGCGTTTACTTAAGACCATACATGGAAAAGCCCCAACATATCAGAAGTAGCTGCAAGAAATTCAATCGATATATCGATCTCAAGAGAGGAAATCAATCGATATATTGATCATGAGCATAGATTACTCTAAAAGGTTGAAGATGATTCAAAGAATAGAACCACGACGTTCTCAGCAAAGCAGACAGCAGATTGCGCTTGATGGCATGCGACGCTCTCTGATAACGAGGCTTTGTGACAGTTTTTTGATAAGAAAGGTTTTCGTAACTTCTCCCATCAGCTGAGCAATTGATGAAATTGAAGAAGGTTCTTTTTTCATTTTTTCGTCAAATTTTCCGACTGATACATCGCCTGGCTTCTGAGCTCGAGCTTTGTGAATTGTAGTGTTCCACAGATTAGTTGGTCGTTGAACGGATGATGCGTGAGGTGATTGAAAGCTGATGTTCGCACCCCCTGGGGAACCACAACGGGGCTTTGGTCTAATAGAGCACTTCGGAGAGGAGTCGATTTTCGCTCGGATTGCTAGATGCTAAGATTGGAAATTCCGCTCAACGATTTCCATTAGGAGTACGGGGACCGGATGGAAGTAACCGATTTATTGATTTTCGTTGGCGAAAAGAAGCCAATGAAGGAAAATCATGCAAAAAGGATACCCATATGTAAAACAAGTATGCGTTCTTCGGCGCCATAAAACACGAGGATATGCTCAGGACTTGGCTAGGTGAGAGCAAGAACATCGATGGGGATTATTTTTCTCACACAACCTGCAGTCTCTCCTCTCGCATTGCCACCACGATGCCCCCTTGTTTTGCGATAGCGCCTGTTTTTCTTTCAAGATTGGGAGGAATATCATTGTTGAGCTTTTATGCTCTTCAAACATTTGAATGCTACGGTCTCAAGAGATGAGCTATGAAGTTGTCCGAATTGTTCTCTGATCAAGTTCGTTCTCTAGAAATATCCGCGATTCCCTGTGGGACCAACGAAGGCGTTTACGAGCACAGCGTGTGCCACTACTAGCTAGACGCCTTTGAAACATCGTCCAAATAATGAAACCCAACGTCTTCGGGGGATTAGCGTTAATTGTCTCGGCGATTGTTACTCACTTGTTTTACAGTAGGCCTGACTTGGTCGAATTATGCATTTGGGGTTTCGCCAGATGGACCTTAGGTGGGAAACCCTCGGTGTTAAGCTTTTTCACAGGAATTGTTCAAAAATACACCTTCAGAGTGTCTTTCACGATGATTGTTAGCCGCCATTCCCATACAGTTTGGAATATTGACCCTTTATCTAAGAGAATGACAAAAAACTCCCCCTTCCTCAATAAGGAGTAGCGAGTAAGTAAACTTCTTGCTACTTTTGTTTGAGTTGTGAAGCCCGCTAATTGAGCGTTGCCGTCGGAGCGGTTGCCCTGAGGAATTTCCGTGGTACGTGTTCCCACATTTAGACAATGCAGTTTTGGCAACGCCCCCACGTCCGTGAGCCGTCCCGAACGAAGATTTGTCGACGAGTTTTTCTTCAACTTTAAGTGACACATGCTTGATTCGAATATGTATTCAATATTGCGATGACGATGCACTTATCAAAGGTTCATCCGGTGTTTTATAAAAGCTGACAGCACAAATGCATCAAAGCTCCAGGGTCACATTTTTTTAGCCATATTCATTTCAAGAAGATTGTGAAAGAGCGTCGAAATTGACACATCAATCTTACGCAGTATTTTAATGAATCTTCTATTTCGACGACATATTTTGGCTCCCGTGTTTCTTGATTGGCAGTGCCGCTCCAGTCTAAAAATTTCCGGCTCAGCACAATGGTCATGGTCCTTTTATGTCCACGGGGGATGATTTTCATGCTTAGTGTGGCATGCTTGTCTACGTGGGGGCGTTGCCAAAACTGCATTGTCTAAATGTGGGAACACGTACCACGGAAATTCCTCAGGGCAACCGCTCCGACGGCAACGCTCAATTAGCGGGCTTCACAACTCAAACAAAAGTAGCAAGAAGTTTACTTACTCGCTACTCCTTATTGAGGAAGGGGGAGTTTTTTGTCATTCTCTTAGATAAAGGGTCAATATTCCAAACTGTATGGGAATGGCGGCTAACAATCATCGTGAAAGACACTCTGAAGGTGTATTTTTGAACAATTCCTGTGAAAAAGCTTAACACCGAGGGTTTCCCACCTAAGGTCCATCTGGCGAAACCCCAAATGCATAATTCGACCAAGTCAGGCCTACTGTAAAACAAGTGAGTAACAATCGCGAGGGAATTACCGCTAATCCCCCGAATACGTGCTGGGGTTTCATTTTTGGACGATGGTCAAAAGGGGTTAGTATGTAGTGGCCACACGCTGTGCTCGTAACGCTTCGTTGGTCCTCAGGAATCGTGTATATTTTGGAGAAAACGAACTTGATTCGAGACATTTCGAACAGCTCCATAGCTCTTGAGACTCTAATCTCTGTTGGAGACCGTTTAGCATTTAATGTTGAAGAGCATAAAGCTTAACAATGTATTCTTCCAATCGTTGAAAGAACAATTGGGTTGCTATCACGATGCGGCGGGATCGCGGTGAGACGCCTGCACCGCGTAAACCATTCTTCCTTGTGTTCAACAACAGGATAATAGCTTCATGGGTGCAGAAAAGGGCATCAGCGTGCGCGAGTATTTCCCATTTTCTCCGAAGGTCCTGCTCTCCCCTAGGCACAGCTCTAGAAAATGTCCGCGTATTTTGCGGTAGTGCCGAAAAAAATATTTATTTGTCATGTACTATTTATTAGGCTTTTAATGGTGTCCGATTTTATTTTCAGATGAATATATCTTTTTTTTCATTGGCCGTCTTTGTCGCCAACGAAAATCAATAAATTCGATTACTTCCATTCGGTCCCCGTACTCCTAATGGAAATCGTCAAGCGGAATTTCTCCAATCTTAGCATCTAGCAATCCGAGCGAAAATCGACTCCTCTCCGAAGTGCTCTATTAGACCAAAGCCCCGTTGTGGTTCCCCAGGGGGTGCGAACATCAGCTTTCAATCACCTCACGCATCATCCGTTCAACGACCAACTAATCTGTGGAACACTACAATCACAAAGCTCGATCTTCAGAAGCCAGGCGATGTATCAGTCGGAAAATTTGACGAAAAAATGAAAAAAGAACCTTCTCAATTTCATCAATTGCTCAGCGATGGGAGAGTTTCGAAAACCTGCTATTATCAAAAAAGTCCAGCCTCTTTTCAGAGGCGTCGCACGCCTCAAAGCGCATCTGCTGGGCTGCTTTTGGCTGAACGGTCGTGGGTTCTATCTTTGATCATCTTCAACCCGTTCAGAGTAATCTATGCCTCATTTGGCTCAATATATGCGTTGATTTCTCTCTTGAGATCGATATTTCGATCGGTGATTTCTTGCGCTAAGTTATGATATGTTGGGGCGTTTATGTATGGCCTTTAGTGAACGCAATACTTGACGCTCTGGAATTCCCCCGCTGTTTTCCTCCCTAGTGTCGCCTACTGCCTTTCAATTACCAAGTGTGTTTGTGTCCATACAACACATCGTAATCATCCCATCCAACGACCAAACCCATCAAAAACTATTAT